CGTCTACGGCTTGTGGATGTTCCTCTACGCTTGCTGTGGGAGGCATTCAATAATTGGATCTGAGCTATCTGTTTCGTAAGGGTATCAACTGATCGTCGTAACTCGGCGATCTCGTCAGCTGAGCTTGATTGGATTTGAGATACAAGGTGAGTCTTGGACCGTTCGTAAATTCTGTCGGCTATGTCTGCTAGTCTATCAAAATCAACGTCTTCGTCTCTAATTGCTAGTATCTGTTGAATGTTTTGAGGGAGACGTCCGAGCCACAATTGATATAGTAGACGTTTGTCTACTGTACGATTTCCTAATAAGTTTGTCATGTGGTGTTTTAACTGAGACGGTGTATTGTCACCTAGCTCCACGTTGGCTAAAAGTTGATCAATTGTCTGTTGGTCGGTGAGAGATGTGACGCGAATGACCTCTCTTTTTAGACAATTGAATGGTGAGTCAGGATCCGGCTTAAAATTGACATCGAACACTTGTTCAATGACGTCATCCGGCAGTAGTGAATTGGCGTAACTAAATTTCGTACTCTGGTTTGTGATTTTGTTTGCAACAAAAAAGCTTTCTAAGCGTGCAAACCAGAGTTCGGACTTTCGTGGATTAAAGACAGGTAAAGGTACAGAAATGGCACCCACGGAAATAGATTTAGATGAAAGGCTTAGCGAATTATCAAGTGCCATGATACGAAGAAGCAATAGTAATAATAAGCTGAGGATTGTAATATACAATATGAAGAGAAATCAAAAATAACAACAAGAAATATATATAAGACTCACCGAAAAGAAAAACTGTCACTTTTGGTTTAAATATGCGAATATACAGCAATAATTCCAAAGGAACAATGTTATGGATGGATTTATTATGACTGTTAATGAATTGTTAATAATTGTAATAGTAATTCCAATGTGAAGTTCTTTAAGATACGCTTGGAGAGTATGCAGCAGAATTTGTGGAGAAATGGTGTGTGTTCTAAAAGCGGTTCACCAATATATTGAGGCTAATATCCTCAATATCTGACTCCAAATAATAATATCCCGTAACTGAGTATTTTAGGTAGGCTTAATCTCCTAGTAGAATTGCGAATTTATTCGAGATTATTAAAAAGCCTGAACACCAGTTATAGAGATAGTTTATTGTTAATGAATAATAATAATCCACAAGCGTACGGTGAGCAAGCACACAATGAAACAGAGTATGAGTAAGTGAGTCTGTTAAAAATCCATATATATTTGAGAGTTAATCGGGTGTGGATAGATTATCGATTATCTGAACATTGAAACCAATAGGAAGATAGCTTAAGAGTTAATGAACAGACTTACATTCGATCATACACACCGAGATTAACATAGTGAATTGAGTCTGAGTTACAATGACTAGATAAATGATACAGTAGTCAAATGGGCTTGCCACAAGATTTAAAACCGATTCGTGAAGCCAGTCGTTAGAATTCGCTGAAAGGACGCTAACTTCTGACCTAGTATAGACGAGTTAGCGAAATTTCGTTATCACATCTGTAATGCATAACACTTATATCACGACGAGCTCGACAGTGTAGATCACCAACGTAGATGATCTATATCGAATGATCGGAGGTTTACTAGAGTTATACGGGAATGATGTGACGAACCAGCTAACGTCGAAGTCACACCTCGTGGTCAGCACCTTACTTGAACTGCCCGATTGACGTATCAAGGTATTATAGATGCTTTGAAGACTGAACAACACAGAGGACGTTATTAAATAAATATATTAGTTAAAGTAGATACAAGCGAAAGTAAGACCACTGCCGCATGAACCAGTCCATGGCGTACAATTACCTGGTGCGCGCCGGTTGTCCTTGAACCTGACGGGGATCGATGATTTGTTCGATATTCAATGACCCAACTTCCGGATGATTTGGCTAAGGCTCAGCGGAATTTCACTCCCCCTACACTACAAATAACTATCACACTAACAAGAATCCATGCGATTGGGTGACTAGACTACCACCCATTAGAAATTGAAAAATACTCAGATCCGTACTGAAACAATAAGAAGCAATAACAAAGAAATCCATCCTTTTTTGCAGGCTCATGAAAATAGTACTGGATATTGCCAATTGGACTATTCAGGTGAGGTGGAATATACAATTCAGTCGGTACTGTGTTGTTTTGTTACTATTGTGTTTTTGCTGTTTTGTGGTCTATAGTTTTGTCTGTACGGTGAGTTTTATAGTAAATAACTGATAAAACACCGCCTTGGTTTTCATTTGCTTTTAACGTACAATGTTTTATCTGACAGTTAGGACGGTTTTATGGTCCAATGCCACTACACATCTACATTGGTTTGCACAAATGTAGTTGTGTTCGTGTGTGTATTCTTGTTGTAAAGTGTTAATACTAAGAGCAAGTATTTTCAAACATATACTTGATGCTGCTTGCAGTCTCTCAGTTTGATGATCGGGTAACCAAATATCACATTGGTCCCATGTTCGTGTGTACTTCTTTTGTTAGGTTTGCGAGGTGTTCATGTTTATATACTCAAAGGATATAACTATATGTGAATGCTTTATGCTCCCTAAACTCATCGGTGTACATTGTTATTTCGGGTATGACATACTGTTCTACAACTGGTACTGGAACTCATTTAGGACCACCTTTTTGTAGTGTTTTATCTCAAACTCCGAATAGCTACAATTTAACCAACAAAAATGCACTTATCGGATCTAAGACAACACTCCTGATCCAATTTTGCCGTTTTGCGAGCAAGAGTTGCATCGATTGGAATTACTATTTCAACTTCAAGAGACATTTTATCCTAAAAGCATTTTTGAGCACACTTCTCAACAGTAGCCCTACCACTCTACCAGCGCAGCTATGTTTACGTGTGCACTTGTTACGTCAGTGGCTACTTGTGCTAATGCTAGCCGTCCAATTATCAAAACCATTATCTGTTGCAGTTTCAACTTTGACCGTGCAAGTGCGATTTCTTAGTAGGCCTTTTTGTTCAGCACGTGGCGAACCGTAAAACAATACCTTCTCTGGGCTGCATATATCTTCACTATATTTGCTGTTCGGAGTTACATAATATGCTCCTTCTAGTCGTCCGAGACTCAGTAATGTACGACTATATCATCATCCAAATTATCCTAAATATAAAATCTAATAAAAAGACATGGCATCTAATTAGAGGCTATCGGTAATTCTGTTTTAGAAACCGCCCATAGATTTGACACTTTCTATCCATGTTTCCATTATTCGTTTTCATTCATATCAAAACCATTGGTATAGTTTACGTTTATTGGTTGGTTTCCATGTGAGTCCAATGCAAAGCTCAGATGTATTATTTTGCAGCATCAAACCTGAAGATTCTCAGGTCCTACTAGTTTAAAAAGCTCGATTTTTACGAAGAGCAAGCGTTGCATTGGTAAAGCTGTAGTATACCCCCAAAAAGTCGCAAGATCTAGAGCCGTCTAACCAATCAGGAAACCGAGATGATGATATATGCAGTTTGCTATGCTAAAATATTCGCTTTAGGGTCTTCGCATCATAACTGGTGTCAGTTTGCGATGAAAATCCTAACTGGAATTCTTGATATTAATTTATAGAGCTTTGCACACTTACTATTGGCTCGGTTGTATAGAACAGTTTTATTCTGTTTATTATCACCAGCAACCTTATTTTAATACGTACTATGAATTGTACGAAATGGTATGTCCATATGTTGGTGGCAATATGAATAAAAAGTGTTGGCTGTTGAAATCAGTTTACTTAGGCTTAGTGTAAGGTAAGAAGCTGTCTACCGATGTGGGTGGCTCATGTCATTAGTCGTTTTAATAGGTCTAATAGACACCTCTACACTACGAGCAATTATGACTTACCTTTTTGTTGTAAAATATCTCCGAGCTGTTTTCCTACATATTAGGAACAATTCAGTAAGTAGGGATACTTAGAAATGCCAGCTACAGTGGCTTGTATATAATTTGTCCAGGTCAACTCAGAGGTATTCATACTGCATAATATATCTCAGTTTACAAATCCGCCTCACCTACTTCAGTTTAAGCAAATGAATAATAACATCGTGCTTTGAACCAAAGTACTGTTTAAATCCACATAAATAGGTTTGTACTTCGTAAAACAAGTTACATTTGTAGTGGTTGATTATTGATCAAGAAGCTGAAGATCTGTTATTCATTCCACTAAATATTTCCTAATACAAATGACTGAGGGTTTGCAAATTTTCATTGTCGTTGATAAAAATGCTCGAAATATCTAATGTTTCCATATCACATGTCTTGGATAGATGTTTACTTGGTAAAGAACGATACAATAGATTCCTGAATTCAATTGTTACCTGGTCTGAAAGTGCTACTGATATCAATCTTATTATTCAGTTGATATATACACCGACCAGATATACATGCTTCTGTACACTTGTTCTGAATATCGTTTTAGTATTTACACTGAGTTTAGACTATTTATCTCCTTCGATTTTATAGAATGAAGTTGAAGTACATCGGTTGAGGAGATATGAACAATTACGTGACAGTAGGAAAGTTCACTGAAGTACAGTTATACACAGCAGTAATTTTAAGACCGTCTGTACTCTTTGAGAAAGCGTAATGAGACAAGGTTGACTGTCAAATGTGAATCCACACTTTACAACTACTTTCATTTCTCCGCTTGTTTATTCATTCCGCCCTTGTAAAATTAGCTAGTATCACTAGCGATTACCTATGAATGAATTGTATTTCGTTCAGTATATATCATGTATGTTTGGTAATGTCCTTTTGTGAGAGGATGAAATGGGATTTTTAGGGCTCCAGTCTTTAAAAAAATTAGAATGACATTATGTTACGGTCTTTTCTCGCCTTATTTAAATGGTTTCAAAATGTTAATTAGTATATCTCCAAATTCTTCCCATAGCATGTTGACTAGTGCCCTAGACTCATAAATTCTTGGTGAAACGGGACCTATTTCATATCAGTGAACGTTGTGGGTGAATGTTTCCAATCATCTCAGATGTGCATGCGAGTTTCTCCAACTGATTCCGGTAACAGCGGAATTTTATTTGTTGGATTCAATCAAGATTATAGTAAATACTTTTTTCTATAAATCCTATATTCATTTTGAGATAATATGAAGTACTTAGTGGAAATGTTATAATTTGCTTATGTTTTTAAGAACACTTGAGTCAAGTGTTTTTGTTTTTTATTATTTCCCTATAGCTCAACTACTTCCTCAACAGCGTGGCCTTATTTGAAGTTGTTTACAAATTTTAAGTAGACTAGTAAATAAGTGAACCTAAAGAATTGGACGATAAAATATTATGTGATGTTTCTGTTTGTATCAGTCTAAAAAGACGTATGAGAAAAAAGATTAAAGTTAACAAAGGTTATTAAATCACTTGATATAGACGAATAATGCGTTTATGGAAAAGGATATAGAATTAATAGATCTACATTTTCATGGTAGATTTTAACCCGTCTATCCTTGTTTCTGCAAGCATCTCACGAACTATGATTGTTGTAGTTGTTTCTCAGCTTACTTGAACCAACACGCCCCCAAATGCCCTGATACGGCCGAGAGTGGGGAGAGTTATCTCTCCCTCTCGAAATGCTCTCACATGGCCACACGTTTATAACCACTGTCAGGGAAGTCCTACTCACTGTCTTCTCGCGACGGGGGTGTTTATGAGATTGAGAGGACGAAAAGCGAATGTCCGGCGCTTCAACTGGGTTGGTGGGTATGGAGGATTCACCTAGGGGAGTTGGAGAACCCTGATTTTAAACCAAGTAGTGCACTTGGGCTCCAGTATCCTGAGGGAATAAATGGCGTATGAACCAATTGTTAGTCACCGGTTACCATGGAACTGCATCTCCTGATGTTGCTCCACTACCTTGCAGATCAGAACTTTAGGTCGAAGGCTGCGGGTGTGGCCGTCTAAGAAAACCACCTGCTTCAGTTTGGGCACCCAGGCGGTATCACAGCCCACATACAAACCAAGGGACCTGTGTGGCCCATATGTATTTGGTGCCCCTTTGTACCAATATTTATGCGTTCAAATAAACAAAAATGAACCAACACTCGCTATTTTGTAGATCAGAGTTATATTTTGGCGTGAGCGCTAAGTTCCTGAAACGTTCTTCCATCATCTCATGTAGAATATAGGCCCGTTGTATAACTTCATAATAAATGACAAAGGAAAGATGAATAAACCATGAACATGATTTCGTAAGCTATATTTAGACAAACCGCATTTGGCGACGGTGGTAATAAAAAGCCGAATCTAGAATGTTAGATAAATTTTTTTCAGGCACTCGTTTACTCAGATAAACATTAAGATGAGAGACGAAAAAATCAGATGTGTCTACTCAGTTTAATTGAAACGTGATTGAATGTTTATAGGCGTGAAATGTACAAACAAACATATAGACACATGCGTACTATTATACATACATGTTCGAGGTTACATACATCAGTGACAAAATAACTGAGAAGATTAGAATAACTCATCTGTCGAAAAGTAACGAAAAACCTCGTAGGCGTGTGACAATACTAATTGCTTCAAGAGTAATAAGTAGCTTGAATTGGATAACATATGCCCCAGCCATCATAAGACAACTCTGCATACAAAATTGAGATGTCTTACTCAACAGTTGTTATGTTGTTCGATCTTCGGAGTTTAATACTGATACGCATACCTTCCATAGGAAAGTATAAACCAGCTACTTGAGTGAGAAAGCTTTATTGACTAAAACCAAATCAAGAGTATATATAATCTCGTTCACAAATATACATCTTTTTCCCTTGGAAAATAAAGCCATATTTTCAAGCAAAGGCATGTTATTGCTTAGAAACTGAAACCAAATATCGGCCAATGGCGAGCGCTTATTTTTAGCCTTTGTTTGATTGATAGTTAGTCATCTGTGTAAATGACCGATAGTTAGTGTTTAGAAACCGGCTGGTGTGTATTTTAGACATATCAACTTAACAGTAATGTAAATTAATCCTGAAATCCTTCCTAAATACCTACTCTTTCGAATTCACAATAGTTTTCTGTGTTTTAGTGAAGCGTGAAGGAAAACGAAGCCCATTGGTTCTGTCCGTGGAACCGTATACTATAATCACGTACTGCAACTATCATTTAGATGGTTGTAGGTAGTCGTTAGCAAACCCTAATTAACCCAGTTTTCGTGATGGTCGGTTCTTTTCACCATGGCATATCCGCAATACTGAAAGAACGGATGATCCCTGTTGAACATTAGTCAGAGATCAATCAGTGTAAGTAACTCAAACTTGTGGGTGGTCAGTCACTACCCGAATAGCTCAGTGGTAAGGTCTTGAACTGTTTCCCATAAGGTTACAGGCAAGTCCTCGTGAATGGTGCTGAGTATTTCGAAACCTAAGTCAAGCAGGGCTTTCAAATATCAAAACATAGTCGCAGTATGTAATTATGATATACAGTCCGATGAACAAAAGCATTGGGATTAGCCTCCGAAATGAAGGTTTTAGATGGAGTGAGCTTTTAACTTCTAGGCCGAATGAGCCAACCATCAAGTTACTGCTCTACAAGTGTGACACTTATTTATTATTTATTTTATTTGAGCATATAAATGTTGGTACAAGGGAGCACCAGATATATATGCGCCACACAAAACAATGAGAATAGGAAGAGAAAAAGAATGTAAGGTGCGTATAGAAAAGAGAGAACAATAACGACCACAGGTTAGTGTATGGAAGTCAAATAACAATAATAATAATGGGGGAAACGAAAAGGTACAACCAGAAAGAATTCTTTCAGTTAAGGAAGTTACAACCACTTTTTATGAAGAAAGTACAAGAAGGTTACAGCAGGATCGCCACTGGCTTCTATTCTGAGCCATATCTGATAACGTCTCTAGCCACTGTAGTGTGACACTATGTTATCTCTTAAGAAAACACATTTTACAGTCATGAATTTCATAAGATGGTCGCGCAACTTCATGGATTCATTAAAGTCAGAATTTAACACTTAGATGATGGCTCAGTGGTCTAAAGGTTAATCATTTGCGCGAAATCGAATGTCCTGGGTTCAGTTCCTGCGTGCGGGATCGGGGATTCACATCGCTGAAGAGTCCCTTATCAGTACAAAACGGTCGTCCAGTGCCTCCAGGTATTCATTGGTGTTCTGACATTAATAGGCTCATGTGTTCAAGGAAATTCAACAATCTCCACAACTCCATATTGAAAATTTCATAAGAATTGACTTTTGTCAGTTGATAACTTCTTGCTTTATCAGACAAGAATAAATGCTTGCTCATTTTGCTTACAAACTCATTCTAAGTGTTCAGTCACTTTTTCCAAACAATTTCCTTGAGTTTGGTTTCTTAAAAAAATTCAGTTTATCAATTTATGTGTCTACACCCGGGTCCTGTATGTTTATTAATTTATTACAGGTTGTTTTGCAGTTGGTATGCAAAATGGATTCAGAATTTTCAATTGTGATCCTTTAAAACAATTAGAACGTTATGGTAAGCATCCTAAATATGCGTGTGTACAACTATCTATATATCTATATCTATCTATTTTACTTACTTACTTACGCCTGTTACTCCTCGTGAAGGAGCATAGGCCGCTCACCAGCATTCTCCATCCAACCCTGTCCTGGGCAATCCTTTCTAGCTCCGTCCAGTTGTAATTCATCGCTTTCATATCTGCTTCTATTATCCGACGCAATGTGTTCTTTGGCCTTCCTCTTTTTCGCTTCCCTTCAGGATTCCAAGTTCGGGCTTGCCTCATGATGCAGTTCGACGATTTGCGTAATGTCTATCTATCTATCTATCTATCTATCTATCTATCTATCTATATATATATATATATATATATATATATATATATATATTCTTATAGATAAAATAAATAGGCATGAATGTATGAGAACTGAACCTGAGACTCGAGTCTGTTTGAATTATTATGAGAAAAGGTTTTAGTGATGAGGTCATCCGATTGTGAAGTGTAGATTTTTATTAAATATTTCATTTTGAATCCTAGTTTTTGCTAGAATTTTGTGTTTTTCATCTGCTATGCTAGGCTATGCTACACGAATTCGTTCATTGCAGAAAGCTGCGGTTGGTTATTTATCTAAGATCATTCCGTGATGTTTAATATGAAACAGAGAAGAATCTCCATAAATCCCTAAAGTAATATATACGTCCTACGTCGAAATAATGTGCCAATACATTTACCAAAGCAAATTCAAGTTTATACTTGTTGACACCTTAAATGAATCAATTCTTAATTTTCTTTCTTTAATACGTAGTCATCGTGAAAGTAGATTGCAAACAACTAGGTTAAACAAATTTAGTGTTAGATGAAGGCTTTTTTCTATGTTCTCAGAAAGTGGACACATTTGTAAATGCCTCAGCTTGTTTCATTCATAATTTCCGTGTAATTACAAGTTATGTATCAAAATCCACTTATTCCACAGTGATTACTTCCATTCATATACGATGTAAAATAATGAGCAAAGTTTCTGGGGAACGTTTTTTTATCAATCTGTGTATATAAAGGTTTTCTTACTTCCTAGCACGATCTTCATTTAAAGCTGGATGATAAATGTCACTTCCTTATATATAGTTATTATCTACTAAATAACTAAATGTAGTCAGGGCTTATGGAGAACTATCATTGGAATTGATAACTTTAAGTGGCGCTTGTCAAGGTTATTCGATTTTCCTATTTTTATTTAGTTTTGTTATGGGCACTCTTTTAAAGATATCACTCATCGTCTGACTTCTCAGAAATCGATCTTCCATCAGGAGATTCTTTTTTTGACTTTGAATACGTCGACGATATAGTCCTGTTTGGTGAAGATGATGAAAGAATGTAGTCTTCTGACCGCCTTAGGAAACAATGCAAATATGTTTTTGATGCGTTTCTCTCCTTCTAGATACAAACTCACCTCAGGATTGGTCTGCATTAACTCTTGAAATAACCGTAGGAAGCGAAGTAGTTGGGTGTATTAATCGCTTCACTCACCCCAGGTGGGTTAGTGTGGGATGAAGTTTCGGGACGAATTCAGAATGCTCAATCGGCTTCGACAATTTGCGTCACTTGCAGTGCTGGCGATAATTCTTTTTGCCAATCGAGGGACGAGTTTAATATGCGCTCTGTTCCACTTTATGAGTGTGAAACATGGTCTTTAAAATTAGGTAATATTACTGTTACTGTCATTCGATCATAGGTGTCTTCGAAGCATTGCTAGAATATTTTGGGACCACCGAGTCGATAATTTCACCCCGTCGTGCTGATAGGGTGCGGTTTAGCATAGTGTGAATATCCAAAGTATCTTATTAAAACAGAATGAATTTCGTCCCATTTGCCATTGTTTAGGCATCAGGGAATACAATTTCCTATTTAATTTGTTGTCGAGACTAGAGTTTATTTATGTAAATAACTACTAAACGTTTCCACAGTAGTCTGTCAGTCATATGTGGCATAGAACCTGACATATATGTACATCGGTTCCATTTTGCTGCACCACATACTCACGATGGGATAAAATTATCAAGGCAAGTCCAAGGGTAGTAGATGTATTAACACTGTGGTGTGTGCTACTTATATTGACATAAGTAGCATATGATGTTAGTCGTAAACAGAAGGCCTGGAAGCAGAGAAACAAGAGGATCGAACAGTAAAGAATGAAAACAAGATGCAATTTGTATGAAAATGCAAGAACAATGAAGTCTGAGTCATTTTGAGACAATTGGTGGACATTTTGCAAATTAAACATTTACTTAGATTTTATCAACAAGTCCTGTAATTTTGTGTTAAATACATTCTTATCAGAATGTCAGTTGAAGCTAGACCACGATTGAAAACTCATGATTTCAATCTGTGAAAATTTCTAAAAATCTCCACAAAACACATTCTGATAATAATAATCACCTGCTCACTAGTGACTGACTTCAGGAGACACTTCTGGAGTTCTAGTGAGAAGTCGTTACCAGTGGAGTTCAACCAGGTCTGTTGTGAGATAGGAACTCACTGAAGACAATGGTGTACGGTAGCGCAACTTCGTGGATTGGTTGAAGTTAGACATTAACACCGTTGGATCCCGGCTCAGTGGTCTAATGGTTAAGTGCTCGCGCGCGAAGCCAGTAGGTCCTGGGTTCGGGCCCCGGGTGGTGCGGGTTCGTGGATGTGCACTGCTGAGGAGTCCCATACTAGGATGAAACGGCCGTCCAGTGCTTCCAGGTTTTCAATGGTGGTCTAGCTTCAACTGTCTCATGATTTCAATCTGTGGAAATTTTTAAATACATTCGATTGTCCCCACCCGTGTTCTGTTCACTACAACACTATTAGTAGTAACAAAAAAGGTTGAACAGCGAAGATGCAATTCGAGAAGAATATGCAAATTAGCGGAATAATAAAAGATTACAAGAAAACTTGGGATAACAACGAATGAGTGTACCTTCTGCATTGCGAACAATTCTGAGCCATGTTACCCAAAGTATCTAACCATTGGTTACAATAATCATGCAAATCATAACCACGTAGTCTGAGCCTACCTACATGTCTCAGTCCAGTAGTCAGTGTCTTCATGAAGTGGTACCATGTGATGGCACCCGTAGCTTTCTTCCAACCTACTCCTTTACTAGCTGTCATCGCGCGTCGAGGTAGTCAGTGCATAGGCATACATATTACATACCCTAACCACTTATGTGTTCTCATCTAGCTATCAGATTAACTTTGAATTACATCATTTGTATATATAACTCCGTGTTTCTTATTTATAATCACTCACATTAAAAAGAATTCGATATCCGAGATGGTACCGGTGTTGGCTACATGGAAATGTTATTTCGTACAAATTTACTTGGTATACTGGGTGGCGGTAATCATTCACGTCTACCAAGTAATGTCGCTTGTTTATGGGATGGAATAAAACAACAATTTGTCTTAGAAATCACCTGTGCTACAGATGTTCGTGGCATTCGTCTAAGACATGATCGGTAAGTGAAAATCTTAGTTGGTCTTGCTACTTTTTTATTGTTATTAATAGTTGTATATAAATGGGTACAGTTTGCTTATTGACTAATAAATACACGTTATGTTTAAATTTTTTATTAGGTTTACACCAGACAAGTGTATAATTGTTTGTTTGTGGTGTGACACGTTTATGGACAAGGTGATCTTGAGTGGTTAGGAGTATAAAGGTAGTCATCACTTCTTGGTTGCTGATACTGTGGAAGTATACTTTTTTGAGGGGTCTGAGAAGGAAAGTGGTTTAGGCATGGTATTAACGACCTGAGCATGTGACCACACTACCCAAAACATAACTACCTCGGGATGATCACACACAGCTCTTTGTGAGTAGTTTTGGTTATGTTAACTACATTCTTTAAATATCTTCGATTGTCAGGCGAATATTACACCTACGCCATAAGTAACGGACGTTAGTTTCTTGTCAATTGAGACTTATCAGTACAGTACATATGCAATGTTCACGGAAGGGGTGGTGCTAGAATCGGGAATTCGGAACCTTTTCACTTAGTGACACAGACAGGGGTCTTCTGATTACAACTGACATTTTTCTGTCCTAAATATTTATACCAATCACTGATCAATATCGTATCCTTCTAGCCATCAGTGCTAATTGAACTGTAGCCAAACAATCAAACATAACACAAGCAATCTTAAATACATTTAGACCAGAGGCTATATTACAACTTGACTGACAGAATTTGTAATAACTACTAAGATGTAAAAAAACACGACATTGATAACTACTACATGGTGATTAATCAGTGCGTAAAAGTATCAAAATTATTAGATTTCGTTAACATAAATTCGTAGTCTACCATTGTCCAAAATAGAATTATAATAGGGGTAGCACATCGAACATGTAAGAAATCCATGTTTATGCATCAAAATAAACGGCGAGACTATAATTTATGCGCAAACCAATCAAATATAAGATAACAGGTCTTAGATTTCAGCACGAAATTCATTCATCCATTTGGCTAAATAGTGTTTTGGCATTTTAGCTGATATCAGTTCGTGATTAAAACTCTAAATCTAATTTCTAACCGTAACCATCAACTGTAAATCAAAATTGTAATTTCTCACACTGTTTTGTAACCGTCATATAATCCTAGTTAGTAGATGGACATTCTCAAGGTCACTTCAGCGTCGCTAAAAGGTTGTCCATAAATTATTGTTTCACCAAATAAACATTCATTTAGTCATTATACCTACCATAATGTGTATACAAACGTATCTGTTATTGATACATAGATTTTATTTTTCCGTAAAAATATTTAAATTAGATAAACTTTCGAGTATAAAAATTATATATCGAAGTGGTATTTAATAAACCAGTAGAAATTCGAAAAGTTATATAAAAATCAGTGTGTACACTAACTATCAATAGTCTCATGTCATGAAGTACGATAATAATGAAAATGAAAGATTTTTTAAAATATTAGATACAGATTATCTGGTTGAGATCCACGTGATGATCATAATCGATGGTTAGAGATTTTAATGTAGTGTAACAGACAATCGATCGTGCAATTGCTTAGATACATTCATTTCTTTGCTTCCTTTCCATCTTGACTTCCAGTATCCTTCCATATATAACTTTTCGCTCTGTCCTTTCATACCATATTTCCAATATTTAGTTTTTTTTAAATTTTATACTTATGCTAAGGCGATCACAAGAACAGACATATTCTGTTAACAATGCTAAAATTTTCACTATAAACGATAACCACAAATGTCTTTCTTTTGTAATTTAATTTCCCACATTAGCTTAACCTTTTTCCGATTACTTGTCATTGTTTTCAGTCCTCTAAATTTCTGTGTACTTGTGGGCCACTTTTTTATTAATACATACATAAATACAGAATTGTACCGATTCGTGCTGTACTACCTCGAACATTAAGTTTTCCTACTGTTTACCTTCTCCCTATATTAGCCGTTACGTGTTGATGTGTTTTGTGTATATGTGTATTAGTTGCTGTTATTGATTATGAAGAGAATCGATCATATCAGAGTAGACCAATCGTCTCCTAATTCCGCAAGTGTTGTAAGCCACTAAATGAATCTTCATAGCGAGACACGATACACACATAATAGCTCAGTTGTCCTTCACATAAAGACAAAACAAATGTTCACCGTTTCCCAGTTTCCATTGGTATTTCAGATAAAATCAGTCCATGACTAACACACCTCTGTACATTCAGCAGTACGACTTCGCCTTCGGACCTTGGGTTTGCTGCTTTTAGTCCTACTGTTCTTCAACCGACCTGTCTGGCATAGCAGGACTTTGAGGAACGGTTGTTCCAACCAGTATAGTTCGATTGGTTCATCGCAATAGGCAAGCCCGACCACCACATCAAGGTAGCAACAACAACCGGGTAATAATACAACCTACGAATATTAAATTTCGATCTAAATTTTATTTTAACGACAACCAAGTATGACATCATCCTATAGAAGTGCATTAAGTGAGAAATTTTAAAATTGTACATTCGACAAAATATTTTCTATTATCATAAGATCTGAAGACCAATCATCTTCTAAATCAGTTAAACAATAATTGAAATATCGGCATATATATATGACTTGGTTTTTCCTCTATTTCAACACTGTTCAGTTAAATAGGGCACCTGGATCTGTAAAACTCTTCAGGAATCCGTTACTGAATCGTTGGATATTCAACTAGTCAACTCTTTTAACAACAAAAGATGACTGAATTTTAACGTTCGATACGATTCAGAAAAAAGAAACAATTCTGTGCGTATGCACAGACACACAGGAGAGTGATAGATACTTTGACTTACCTCCTTAGTCAGTGATCCATGTTATTCGTAGATTGAGTACGTCGACATTATCAATGTATCTCCGGAAATCTCTAACTCATAAACTCGGATTAATTTTTCAATAAGTAATGACGTAAAAAAGTTAGAGAAATATTGTAGGGCTGTTGATAAAGTTGGTCAAGAAAAATAAATGAATACATTTTCAATGTCGATAAAACAAACCTTTCCGAAAAATCTCATTTGTTCCTAATATTATCATTATCGTCTTCACCATCACCTTTATTTTATTGCCTTCGATGGAAGTAATGAGTAACGTATTTAGTGTGGAGTTATTTTTTTAGAGTCAAATATTTCATCAAAGTATATCCACATATAATAGTTGTCTCAAAGGAGTACCTTAATTCAGGAGGATTTCCGACAAACTAGCAATAAGGATTTAACTTTCCAGTAAGTCATCAGCCATCATCAAAGTAGAACATGGCAAACATGTGCATCGTATTAAGCTGTTGTATCACAGTAGCATGATTAGGTGCATATGGTTGGGAAGTTGAAGCCAGTCAACAAGACGAAACCCTGAACATAGTTTTATTGTTAGATATCATTTGGTTAGTCATCATCAATGTATAGACTACGACACATACATATACATTAACTCAAGTTCCCATACTACATTTTGATACGTCTTCTAATTGAACGCTAGATTCGGTTCCTAAGCTCTTCTAGTAACCCCCAGGTTAGATCTACACACCAACTTAAACACGAGAGAAAAGGCGGGAGATATAGAAGAAACGCATTACTCCAAAGGTTCGTTTATGCACAGAAAATCTAGGGTTTTTATAGTATTTTATATGGCCTTGGGTTTCCGGAAAATTCTGGAACGCTACTAAACATAGTAGCGGTATTGATAACCATCCAATCAGAAACTCGCTACATGAATTTTCACTTTCTAGATGTTTCTGGCAAAGCTCCTAGTGAATACTGATTGGATAAGATGGTTCTCAGTGTTTTCAGAGCCTTTTGGGGCTTTTTTCGAGTTTTCTGGATCTCTCCAACACGTTTGCACAACAATATGAATTCAGTAAAGTGAATGGTAAACAAATCGAAGTGATTGTTGTACAACATCAGACAACACTAAATATTGAGAACATACTTTTAAAAGATAGTGAGTAGAGATGTCTGAATAGATACTAGCAATCGAAATGTAGAGGAAAATAGACGGTGAGTGGATCTGCGTCGCTTAACATCTCCAACCACAGATGATGGTTATCGGAAGGGCACTAACTAGGTAGTCTGCATCTAACGAATTTAATCTTTGACTTTAGTCATAACAAAACGATTCATTTACGATATATATATATATATATATATATATATATATATATATATATATATATATATATATATATAATATATATATAAAATAATCTATATGTTAAAGGTGACATAGTCCTGACTATAACTGGTACATTGACGTGATGGTCGGTCTTGTGTGTCGTGACAGACCAATCGAACTATATTAACTGGAACACTCGTTCGTTTATGTCCTACCATGACAAGTAGGTTGGTTGGATGGGGAATAATAAAACTAAATGCAGCAAAGTAAGGTCTGATAGCCAAGTGTACTTGTGGTGTGACAGCAACGTATTTCTATCAGGCAATCACATACAGTAATGATTCTTTCTCATACTAGATGGAGGTTCGAGAATATTGACCCTAAAACTGTCAAGCTCTACATTACCTCGTGCATTTCGGTCGCCCGGAGTAAGTTATTTAAGGAATGCAGTTCACATGTCTAAAACTTCTTACAAAAAGCTGTGTGTGATCATCCCGAGGTAGTTATGTTTTGGGTAATGTGGTCACCTGCTCAGGTCGTTAATACCATGCCTAAACCACCACCTTTTCAGATTTCTCAAAAAAAGTATTTTTCTACAGTATCAGCAACCTTTACTAGCAGTCGAGACCAACTGGCCTCGTTTACTCAAATATATATTACCCTATTGTTTTGTTCTTAAATATTGTGGTTCTGAGTAATTAAACTGTCCAATTTTCACTTCTTCATTATAGAATAATAATTATACTCGTAAATGCTATCAAAGTGTACACATTTAGCCCATCACCTCAATTAATTTTTGAATCAAATACATGTTCAAATCCTTCAGGATTATGTTATGTCTGTCAAAGTGTTGATAATCCATTGGTTGTATTTCCTGGACGACGACCTGGTGTTGTATCATTAGTTCATATTGGAAATACTGGTTGTAATGTCAATCTTAATAACAACGCAAATAATAACAATCCTGGGAATGTTACTAACAATAACAGTAATACTACTACTAATAATAATATTGGAAGTACAAATACAATATCCATCAATACTATTTGTCCATCATCAACAAATGCTACTAATATGCCACCAAGACAAATAATTGCACATGAAAATCCACTTGCATCAATCACTTTAAATCGTGATGGCTATCTACTGGCAACAGCATCACAAAAAGGCACATTAATTCGTATATTTTCTACAAAAGATTGTACTTTATTACATGAATTGCGACGTGGCACTAGTCAAGCTACAATTACATCATTATCATTTAATAAAGATAGTGATTTATTATGTGTTACCAGTGAACGTGGTACTGCGCACATATTTTGTCTTACAAAAGATTCTTTAACTAATCCTCGTAATATTCAAATTAGTAGTAGTAATAGTATTAGTAGTAGTAGTAATAGTAGTAATACTAGTATCAATCATAACCATAGTCCTCACTTGACAAAATCTTCAGGATTTGGGTATGTCGTTGTTGTTGTTATTTGCTTAATTGTTTATTTTGTCGTACTTTTTCAAAACGATATGTATATATGGGTGTGTTTAAAATGAAGTGTAAAATGAAATTCGATCAAGTAGGTGACTTGAGTTATATCCTCTAATGAGATACAAATATATAGCAGTTTGAATCGCATATGAATGTTTACTATATGCTATGTAGAGAAGGAGAGAGGAAGTATGAAGAGCAGCACACATGTGTGGAAGTCTGAAATAAAGAAGAACAAGAGAAAAAAATAAGTCGACAACTCAATCAGCACATAGGATGCAATTGCATCTAAATAATGGAAGAAGTCGATAATAGTTAGCAGTAACACAGATATGATATTAAGACAATCTGATAATTAAAACTAAGAGTTGTTAAAGTAAGATTTTGAATGCCACTGCGTCAAAACATTCTATTCATAAAAAAGTCACCTGTATTGTGTGTAAATATTGATGATACAAATTAGTTATTCACCTTATTTACTTTAGTATACTAGAAATGTGAATGAGATGTGATGTATGATGATTGACGATATCATGATACTGTTCAGACAATACATAGGTAACAGTTGTTCTAACCGAGAGGTGGAGGCGTGGTGTACGTTGACCACTGAATGATTGATTAATCGGTGAGTATTTGTGAATGTCATGTTTGTCTAGTGGTTAGTACTGATCGAATGCCTTAGATGGAGTTGGAATGTGGTGACTGGTGTAAGTGAATAAACATTGTGTGAACGATGTTTGAATATTGTGTTGTTGGATGTAGTTTTTATGACACCTGATTTAATCTAGGTTTCATGCTATTCAGTACTCGTTAGCAAGACGTACCTTCAGTCTTGTAGGAATTGATGCTTCATGTAGGATTTGATTCTGTGTCACCCATTCTCATAGTTTGAGACATTATCACTAAACAATTTATATATACGACTCTACCCCTTAGTAAATTAATCCATTTCTTAGCCAGTGAAATGAAATTGTCCTTCAGGCCACTTCTGATTGCCATCTGTTGATCTTCTCATTAGACTACTTCTGATTGGCTTACCATACCACCTTTCCCTCTTGAAAGATAAGTCTTGCTTCTTGGATTTAACTGAAGGCGTTGGGGTATATGTCTTCATGATCTTCTTGGGTTCTGGCCATCAATTCTTCTGCACTAATCTTGTTCCAGACTAATTGTATCAACTAAATAATCTAGTGGCAAGTTTGAACTAGGGGGTTCTTTATTCGAATCTAGTCGCCTATAGTGGATGCGGTTTACATATCGCGTCAGACATTTACCTCGAACATCAATTTCGTACATTACGTCACCGACTTTTCACACGATGACACTCGCTATCCACGTAGACCCCCATTGTCGAAAATTTCTTGTATACATTGGTAACCCATTAGGAATCGGACGTTCGATTCTCCTCACCGTGGATTTATATCCTCATTTTCTTTGTGGATACATGCTATCAAATAATATCCGAGTTTTCCTTCTGAACGTTGATTCAGTAGAGTAGACACCACTGGATGAGGCTGAATTCGGGGTTATTCTGTATGCTTATTTTAAACACAGGGCGGTATCCACTGAGCTGTTGAGCTCAAGTTTTAATTGGTTTATATCATGAATGAAAAAATAGGAATATCAAAGTAATTCACTCAGAATGCATACAAACTAATAATGGTCGGTCATTTATACTCCCCAGTATCAATAACCTGAAGATGCAAACTCATAGTAAGTAAGCAGAAATTAGTATTATTTCTCAAAAGTTTTCTGAAGTTATATGCTCTTCGACAGAGAGATATAGATATTTACTAATGTATTGTATTTCTTTTAGAATAAAAAATAAGTTTCTTGGTGTGTCGTTTTTTATGCTACTTGAAATTTCTACTTTCAGTTCCGGTAAACTCTCTCTACGTTCTCTATTTTCTACTACAAGCCATGTACGATGTGTTTTGGAAACGAAATTCAAAGCTATATGTGCTTTCAGTTCTGTCAGTCCTGATACTTTAATAGGTAAGTTTCAAAAGCAGACATTTACTAAGTAATGAATAAAACGCTTTGCTTTTGCCCGTAATGTTTATCCGTAGGTTGTTTTATTTATAACTGATTGATCTCAGTTGGGGTATTATTGAAAGCCAAAGAGAACGAGACAGATGTTCCATCTTTGTTTGCAGACATTTCAAGAGTGGTTATCTATGACTATATCATCAGGTATCAAATTCCTTGACCTTCAGGTCCCGAGGCGAACGCTTAGTTGTTAGAACCATGGGATCAGTGTCCAATCAAACAGTAAGGTGCGTACTGTTGAGATTAGTCCTATACTAATACGAAATAGCTGTCTTAACAGTTCTCCCTAGTTTTCAATGGTATTCCAAATGAGCTGATTATGGGATGAATATAATCTATAAATCTGACCAATCTTCACTAAACTCATTTCAACTAAACTATCATATTCAATCCTTTTATTATTTATCATCATAAATCCACCAGTAATTAGTTGTAGATGTTTTATTTATTGTCAAGTAATTAGACCACTATTCATCTATTTGACTAACTGCTTGTATAAACAGTTATTCTGTTCAAAATTGCCCGTGTCTTAAATAAAACAAAAATGTTTTGATCAATTATAAATTATTGAATAGAAAAAAATTATTCAAACAGTAGCATTACTTATCCTACAGGAAGGTGAAATTATTATACCGGCAAAACATATTGTTCAGTTTCAATAGTCGATTATTTCATCAATGTATTATTTTAAGATTTTTCATTCGTTTTTCTTTCTACAAATCTAATGATAAGTGCACTTGTCACTCTTACGCATTTATCGTAGCATATTTAATACACATAATTGATAGAGCTCTAGAAAACTTATCATTGTTGCATGTGTGATTTCTTTATAGCTTTAAATCGATTGGATCAAGTGATGTTAGTTAGTTAGCTACACGATATGGCATAACAATCTTCCGATACTATTGGTGCATAAGTGTTCAGGATGGCGAATTGATTAAAGTTACAAGTATAAATCATTACATACCGAATCAATGGTCTGAAGGTTGAACGCTTTTCACGAAACCTGAAGGTCCTGAGTCCGATCCTCGGCTGTGTCGTGGTTGCGCACAACAGCAGTATCATACTAGGACGAAACAGCTGTTCTGCGCTTCCACATTCTTAATAATTATTTAAATAAGTCAAGTCAGTGATGTCAACTATCTCCATAAGCCCGTCACACTAGTTAGTTAGTTAGTTATTGAGTTAGATGTTCTCAGCACTTTCAAATTATTCTCGTCACCCAACCTTATCAATCAGGAATGTATCGTTTAGAGCTCTAAACTTTCAATTATTAGGCCCCGAGGTTCAAACCAAACTCTGTCTCTGTTGGTCTAAACAACCTAGTAGTATCACCATCAGTAATTAAAAAGATTTATGTTCAAGACTTTAGTGAGTTCTACTAGTTAAAGCTTTTCAGTACTGTAGATTTACCACAATTTACCAGTACTACTCCCTTAGTATTTTAAGCTTAACGTTGCTTTAAAACTATGAAAAGATAATAATTTAAACATGTAACTGATAATTACTATTTACAGAAAACACAGTTTTACAATTACAATTGTAATCTGCATAAAATTACAATTGAATTGTTATTAATCGGCCCTAACCACACAATAAAAGTTGTCTAGTTGGATTACTTAAATTTTATACTCTACGATGAAACCGAATGTAAAACGAAAAATGTCTATCTTACACAAACAACCAATTAATCATCATCTGAATTATTGGGTTTTATTTAAATTGAATTACTGTCAAATTCTTACTATTGTAATGAGCATTTTATTATCATAATTACAAATCAAACAAACATATTCCTAATTTTACTATTGTCTTCATATGATATTCAAGTTAATTATGATAAGAACAAATAATTATTGTGTCCACTTATTGATTAATCCTCCTTCTATCAAATGTAGCATTAGTAACTTTCTACTTTTACCAACGAGAATGACCAATGAACAGTGGATGAAACTTTTGGTCATTGAACTCCTTCCAACTCAGTGTCCGAATAAACACAACAGAATTAGCGAACAGATATCTTCTCTATATTGTACAATTATCATCATGACTCAAAACGCATATAATAATATGGACCACACATCGATTTAAATAGGAAATTATAGTGTGTTCATAAAGACATCATAACTGAAAAAGAAATCTAATAATAAAGTCTATAAATAATTAACAATAACTTAGGGAAGGTAAAACGGTGAGAACATAATTTATGAACAGCCTAAGAGAAACACTAAAATGATCTTGAAAATGCCCACCTGATTGCAAACTATAGCATAGTCACAACTAGTTTGAGTTCCGATCCATATCTGATAACGCTGTACGATCTCCGCGAACAGAATTAGTGGATCTACCAAGTTACAAATCATTTCCATTCGGTACATGTGTTATGTATGCTTAACCACAGTTTACCGCGACGGGCTATGTTTACGGATGTAGGACAAAGTTGGAAGAAAGCTAGGGTCGATCAAAAGATAACATGACATCAGTCGATAAAGTCATTGCTTTTTCCACTGGACCGTGTTGGTAGGTGCCTACTACTTGGTTGGAATTCTCACTATAACCGTTATTAGCGGTTTGAGACATTAGATTATATGGCTCGGAATCAGTTACAATGCCCGAGGTTTGTTTACTCTTTATTTTCATCCATATCTTAAGAACCACTATTCCTTCATACATACCTTTCTATCCCATCTTTTTAATGCGTATTCTGAGATAAGGTGGTGGTTGGAAATAGTCAACAGGAAACCCTGAACCTGGGTTTCGTGCTACTTGGCCCTCGTCAACAAGGTGTACCTGTAATCTTGAGGGGACTGACGCTCCCTGATGGATTCGATCCCGTGTCACCCAGCTTCACAGTCAGAGATGTTACCACTGGGCTATCCGGGCTGCGACTGACCTCCTGCGGGACTGAGATGTATTCACAATTGATAGATCACTGGGTGGTGATCAATGTTATGTCCTCCTTCAACATAGTGCACACATGTGAAGTCACCTAGACTAGTGGTCACATTGCTACATGGTCGATAGCATTCGATCTGCACTAATAAGGACCTGACACACATAACACTGATCACCACCAAGTGATCAATCAATTGTGAAGGCGTATTCTCTTGAATGTTCATTCTTATTTTCATTGTTACTACCTTATTTCAACCTGCTTTACTATTCATCTCATTAATTTCATCTCGTCGTGGTAATGTGGTGTGACAACTTGAGCTAACGCTCATACTCGAAAGGCTCCAACCCACTAAATTTAACATTTTAAAGTGATGTTATTTATTCAATGGTAATTTTTACTATTAACAGAATTCATGTTATCGAATTTCAACACTGCTTACACAGTATGAGTGACTCTTTGAATACAACAGTGCTTAAAATAAGGATTCATTCCTTAACTCGAAGATGATGTTTTACAATTGTAGCGCAAAACGTGATTACTCGTATCGTACCGTTGCACACTCTACCTTTCATAGCCACCGGACTAATAGTGTAATGGTTTGTCAAAGTGCCATTTGTCTCTCTGTCTTTTACTTCATGAAGATTGACCTTATCTGCTACACCTTCACGCATTTTATGCTTTTCATTTATATTTTCATTGGCTTTTACGAAATATTATTTCCACAGTTCCGTCTCTGTAATATGTACTAATCATTTCCTAAATTTCAGTTATCTAAGAAATCAGGGACCTGTCCTGTATATGTATCGCGTAGAGCAGTGGCGGGTTCAGTGGTTAAAGCATTTGGTTTCCATCCACCAAGTCACAAGTTTGAATCCAGCTCTATTCACTTCGATTAGGACAGCTATGTAGTATCACCAATCCCCCATACTTAGTGTGTAGTTTGAAGCTAATTACACAAATTTGTACTTAGTAAATAAGTATCAGTTCATGTTACCTTACATCTAACGCTAGAAAAACCTTAGCGGCAAAGGAAAGACAAGTTAAGAGGTATAAAATATACAACTTGAAATGAATAAATAAGTTCAAAATGTCTAGAGTATGGGAATATGCTTAAAGATTTTGTTAGAGATGAAGAATGAATGCCACTGCAGCAATGCAAGTAATTTTGAACTTAATTCGTCATAATTTTATGTAAATTTATGTAATTTTTATTCTAAACAGCACAACGATATATTTCATAGACGTGTTCTCTTATCGTTTTTCTAAAGACAAACTATATGTTTGAATGAATGAAATAAAATACTAACCTAACCACATGACTACTAATCGACAGATCACTTTTCTGCTGATTGATTGATCATGGAATAGTAGTGACCAATCAATGTAAACACGTCAGTTCTACCGTTGTTCTGTTGTATTTCAAATAATTCAGTTGTATTGTCTCGAAACTAGGAAGTTGGTTGATACAGACTGAAATCCCACTAGAAATATCAATCCCCTCTAAACTGTATCTACACACTGTTGATACGATTTCCAACTAATAAATACTAAAGTCGAGTGGATATTTCTTATCAGACTATATTCAACCATTAAACACTTATTACTTTTTATGGATTGATCACTAAATACTTTTTTTATTGTTAAACCATTATTATTTCTATTTCTAACTTGCTTCTGTTTTCCCTTCATCGCTTCTTCCTCTTTCCTAAATAGTTTTATCCGCAGATGGATCTTACTACAAGTACACATTCACAGCAAATGGTACGGTAACACGTGTAACATTTGTAAACTTTCTAGATTTCTATGATGATGAAACAGATTTCTAATTTTGTCAATGTATCTATTTCTTTGATAATTTAAATACTAAGTAATTGTGTTTTTGATAGCTTATCCTATCGGTTCTTTTTCAAGTCATGTTAACATAGATTGAATAAATTTAATTCTTCCATAGTTACTGCTGATTGTTATTATTGTTATTACACCCCTCTCTCTCTCTCCATATATATGTTTGTGTGGGTGTTTGTGTATGTGATTATTTATCCAGTTGTTTTTTACTTTTTGTTCTACGTTTGTGATTTGTTTATTTATTTTTTTCTAATTGAACACTGTGGGGTTTTTTTTGTCTTTCCGCGCTTTCTTCATCATGATATATTATACATTTGTAAACTCTGTTTTATACAATGTGAATTTATGAAAAAACGGGTAAGAATGTGTATTATTATGAATGAAAGTAGTAGAGATGTAAAACAATGATTATTGATTATCTTGTTTTTCTACGATTTTCAGTTGCGTTTTTATTTATTTTTTAAGTAATACTAAGCTTTTCTTTAATGGTTAGAAAATAAATGTTAATCGCCACGTATTTCTCTGTGTAATGTTGTTCAACGGTAAAACATTATGAGAGAGCTAGGAGTAGTCAAACTAACATGAGATCAAGTCATTTGATTATCAGTTTGAAACTGTAGCAAAATTTGTAATCAAGGTCTCACTTGATGGTTATAATCAATGGTTTAAAAATTGTGTGTGATGTTGAGACACATATGCATCGAATCTTCATCGTTTATCAAAAATCCCTAAAACTGAGTAAAATTTGTAACTATATCAGATACAATAGAAGAAATTCATACAATTTATGTAAACATAAATTGACCACATGAAGAAACGTTTTGTTAGTAAGCTTAATTAGAACAATGTTTACACCTTTAATATCTCTATAATTTCATTTATGAATTGTGATGTAATCATTAGCGTAAGAAATTTCTCAGACAACATTGAGAAGACAAAACATTTTTCTAATGTATCACACATTTACAACAATGATGTTCTATTCTATATGGTACTTATTGACTTTTTGCACCTATATTCGTAGTGTTGTTCTCATTCAGGTCTGAACACAGCAATTATTATTAAAACACTAGGATATCGATCGACTTTCTCAAAGTAAACTGACAAATATTCATGAACTTGAAGATGACACTGTAATACGTCAATTGATTGCAGTTAGATCATATTTTCTCTGAAGCCGAGATGAAAGTAAGAAATACAGGTGTTGGTTGATTATTACAAATAAGTAAATTATTTACCTAACTATAGTCTTTATCCACTTATCTTTATATGAATCATTTGCATAAGTTAAATAATTTGCTAAATAAATGTATTTTAGTTTGTTTATAACTGAATTTCTATATTAACTCTTATCTGTATTTCGGTTGTAGAGATATAATTAGCAGATCCTTATAAAATAGATTGTAACTCACAGTATTTTGTAATTTACCTTCCAGTGATCCTACTTATTAAACCTTCCGACACTACATGTTTTCTCGATTTTATGTTGCTGTCAAATGCGCCCAACTTTTTTCGCTGATTGATTAATAGGTATTAACCAATATTATTGTTTATTATAAACCTTAGTGTCAATTAATTTGGAATATGATCACCAGTTTGAGTGACTTGACGAGTGGCAAACATACACGACATACAGGTTTATAGCTTTATGATATGATTCTCTCAAACTACTCATTTTGAGATTTATTGATGGTTTTTTTTAGCTTTTGTTTTTTAGAGCCTAATCAATCTTATTTGATAAGTTGAATAAATCCTTTAGTCAAAAAAAGAAATTGACAATTCTCCCCGGATTAACTTACAATAGGCAAGATACATTAACATTACATAACTTGCTATTTTAAAAGTACTATTTAAGTAAATATATTTTCTATGTAATTCCTTATTAAGCTTTACAACTGTAAATATTTTATCAGATAGTTTACAACCCGTGAATGGTAACAAGAAAAATCAATCGTGTATATGCAGTGATTATAAGCTTGTTTAGAATAATTGTGTATGTATGTATGAGGGAAGCAGGTAATGAAAAAATCTTCTCATTTAGCATTAAATTACAAAATAGATGATTTTTTTCATATGATGTATAGATAACATTAAGACTATAACCTTATGGAGTTGTTGAGTTTTACTGAACTCATGAACCTATCGAAGTTAGACAACCATTGAAAATATGGAATCACTGAACAGTCATTTTCTTCTAGTATGGGACTCCTCAACAGTGTACATGCACGACTTCACAGCCGGGAATCGAACACGAGGCCTTTAGTTTCGTGCATGAATACTTAACTTCTAGACCACTAAGTCGGCACTCAAAGGTGTTAATGTCTAACTTCAGTCAATCCACTACATTGCGCGATCATCTTCAATTATCTTCGATGGGTAAGTGCCTCACACCTGAGAGAGATTAACTTAAGTGCCCACGTCTTCTCATCAGAAGTCCTGAAATTTCTTCTCGGGGCTAGTCATTAGTGGTACTGCGCACATATTTTGTCTTACAAAAGATTCTTTAACTAATCCTCGTAATATTCAAATTAGTAGTAGTAATAGTATTAGTAGTAGTAGTAATAGTAGTAATACTAGTATCAATCATAACCATAGTCCTCACTTGACAAAATCTTCAGGATTCGGGTATGTCAGTTGTTGTTATTTGCTTAATTGTTTATTTTGTCGTACTTTTTCAAAACGATATGTATATATGGGTGTGTTTAAAATTAAGTGTAAAATGAAATTCGATCAAGTAGGTGACTCGAGTTATATCTTCTAATGAGATACAAATATATAGCAGTTTGAATCGCATCTGAATGTTTACTATATGCTATGTAGAGAAGGAGAGAGGAAGTATGAAGAGCAGCACATATGTGTGGAAGTCTGAAATAAAGAAGAACAGGAGAGAAAAATAAGTCGACAACTCAATCAGCACATAGGATGCAATTGCATCTAATTAATGGAAGAAGTCGATGATAGTTAGCATCGGCACGGATGTGATATTAAGACAATCTGATAATCAAAACTAAGAGTTGTTAAAGTAAGATTTTGAATGCCACTACGTCAAAACATTCTATTCATAAGAAAGTCACCTGTATTGTATGTAAATATTGATGATGCAAATTAGTTATTCACCTTATTTACTTTAGTATACTAGAAATGTGAATGAGATGTGATGTATGATGACTGACGATATCATGATACGGTTTAGACAATACATAGGTAACAGTTGTTCTAACCGAGAGGTGGAGGCGTGGTGTACGCTGACCACTGAATGATTGATTAATCGGTGAGTATTTGTGAATGTCATGTTTGTCTAGTGGTTAGTACTGATCGAATGCCTTAGATGAAGTTGGAATGTGGTGACTGGTGTAAGTGAATAAACATTGTTTGAACGATAATTGAATATTGTGTTGTTGGATGTAGTTTTTATGACACCTGATTTGATCTAGGTTTCATGCTATTCAGTACTCGTTAGGAAGGGATGTTTAGTCATTTAGATTAGCGACCATAATGTAGTTTGACTGATAGAAATTAATCTACACTATTAGGTAAGCAAACATGAAATTGGTCACTACTAAGTGGTCAGTCAATGTGAAATGCCACTTTATCGATCATTGCAGTTCCAAATGATTTAAATAAATATTACTAAATGTAGTTATAATATAGTGAAAACTGACCGCAGATAAATATTTATCTTAACACTTTTTATAAATTATAACAGTCGAAATTGTGGTAAATTCAACGTTTATAAAAAAAGTGTTTTTGCAGAAACATTTTCAGCTTGATCAATGTTGTCATTTTGTATAGAATAACATAGAGAATTCAATAAAATTCATCCAAACAATACTATGTGAATAAGATAATATTTTGATATGAGTTAACGATTCTGATATTTTGTTGAGATCTGTTCGTCGAACAAATAATCGATGGTCGAGGAATCGTTGAACATTGAGCAACTGTAATGACTTGACAGAATACTGGTTCTTGCACATGTTTTGAACTGTGGACATGATTGTTTACTTACTACTGTATAAGGGAAAAAACACGGATATTGTTTGATTAACAAGAAGAAAGGTAAGACCGATGATGAAGTGTTTATTGTATACTAAACACAGTTGATCAAAACAACATGTAATATTATTATAAGGTGTATTTCATTCAAATATCCAGTCAACAATCAAATCTGAAATCATTGGACTGGTGGTAAGTTACATTGCATTAATCAATAATTCAATGTGTGTGAGTGCATATTTTACAGTATAAATGAATTATCTGCTTTAACTAATCAATATAACTAAATTACTGAACAACATAATTATACCCTCGTAACAGTAACGCGGTATGACTATTCGATTTAAGTATAAGACTGGACACTATCGTTCATTTTTTATTTCTTACAGAGTAAACCGTACGACTGTTAACTTTGAAACTGAACGCGTCTTAGTTTTTTTTCCATATGCCTTTAAACTTTTCGTAATTAATCGAAATGTGTCATGAATGATGTTGTTCAGTGTGGCAGTTAAACAATATTACACTAAGATTAATCCAGATAGCTATTAACTACGTGACTGTTCTGTTTAATGTGAATATTGAACACTCTAGCAAATTATTTGTTCAATGGTGTTGAGATAATGATTTGCACACCATTAACAATGATATAGAGGTCACTTGTCATGGAATGGATTAGGCATATTTTAACTGTCACAACTAGTAAATTGTATACGACATATTATTAATTATTCAGTGATAAGTTTGACAATTATAATACTTGATTCAAAATGTGACATTATTCAATATAAAATTAAAATGCAGTGAATAAATGGTTTAGTTATTGTACACCTCAAGTATTTAATTAACATTTATATTTGTTTGTGGTAAATTCTCATAATAGACAGTTCTGTTGATATATCGAATTGATACTTCTTCTACAGTTCTCGTCGTTATATTTCGTTTGCGTCTAGTCGCTCTTTATAGAATAGATTGAATGTGGTTAGCA